GAGGCAGATGCACGAACACAGTAGAGGCACAAACACGACAGAGCACACAGCGGAACACGGCAAAGGCACAGACACAAGAACCCTAAAAGAAATTAGGGCACACAGTAGAACACGAGTGGGCACAACACACACAGGTCACCAGAAACTAGGCTTTGATACCAAGTCAAACAATATGGGTAGAATATTTTCTGATATATTTCATTCTCCGAAGGGAGGTATTTATAATACAGGTTACAAACCCTAGTAGGGTTTAATTAGGAAATAAGTGGAATCCTAATTACATAATATCTATACAAAAGGAAAAATAAATAAAACCCAAATAGAATAGGATATATTATACTCGCCAACAAAATTCATTGCAGATTCAATCATGGCAGGAAATATTATATTAAATCCAACAGGAGATTGTTGCTCTTCGTCGGTAGCTGAAGCTAAATTTGATTCAATAAAATGTAGCCCTAAAAGAACAAGAGAGGTGTTCATTAGTACAGCATGAAGGAAACTTAGCATGAAGCAAGAGCAACACATATACCCTTGTTAATTTGTTCTTCGCCAACACTCCACCGCTTTAGTGCAAGGATACATGCTAAGGTAGATAAGAGAGCATCTTTGATTAACAAGGGATGAAACTTAGGACCCCATGAGCCATCATGGAATTGATTTGCTAATAACCAATTTACACATTCAGGGAAAAAAGGGTCCTTTGTAGAATTTGGAGAAGGGACCATTGCCACCCAAGCAGTGTCATATGATGAAACAGAGAGATCAACCTTGTTGAACATCTTCTTTATTCTTTCTTTGGTCCCCTCAAAATTTTGATTAAACTAAAAAAAACACTTTTTGACATTGTTAACAATGTAAAGAGTATAAAGGAAATAATAGAACTAGCGAGGGATAGTCTTACAAAAACAGCGGTATTGCTCTCTGCTGCCCCATTTAGTCTCAGGACTGTTGAAGCTGCTTGTGGCAATAAAAATTTTCCAGATTATTAAAGAAAGTACATCTTAAAGAGCAGAAATCCAATCCAGGTAACCCAAAAAACAATGTTCTAACATTATAGACAAAAACTGAGATAGTAAGAATTATTACTAAACAGTTGAGAGAACTCTGATTATATGCTTTGCTTATACCTCTTATAGGTTACATGCTAATAGAATTTCATATTTGTGGCAATCCAATCATTGAAAACAAAAAAATTAACCTTATCTTCTGCTTATTAGAGGCTTGCATGAGTTAAATCTTGATTTTAGATGTCCTTAGACACCTTAGACTTCCAATTTCTCATAAAACCACCTAAGAAACC